TATACATATATATATACATACGGTATGTATACTTGTGTATATATGATCTTGCCATTTTCCTATTTCCATGCAAAACTAATGTACCACCTGCAGAAAATAACATTTACTTCTCTCATTTTGGATTTTTCATTTGATTAGGTAGATTATAACTGTAATACAAAAACACGTGTGTGGTCCATAGCTTCATCACACCATTGTGTTTTTAATGGCAAAGCCGTCTTTCCTTATAGGCAATATCGGGAAATGCTAAGGGCAAATTGGCCTCTAGGAAGGGCTATAACATCAGGAAAATGAATCATGAATGAATCATATTAACAATGATTATTCTGAGTAAGTCCTAAAGAGGCATGATGGAGTTTTCTAATGATATTACCACTTGTGGCCAAAATCCAGAACTGCAGCACGATTCTGCTCGTTCTCATTGTACTTGCTCGTACATTGTTGTCTGAGGTGAGCTGGATGCTGGTCGCTTCTTTGTATCCACAAAATCTATATTGAATATTACACTTTGATTTTTGTTGATTGGACCCATTTAACATGGACGTGCTTAACATCAAATTCGCAGAAACAGCGTGTGAACTTCTGACCTGCAGGACAAAAAAAGGCAACAGGCTTATAGATGCATCGGCGCTGAACTACTGAGTTATTAAACAATGTTCTAGTTATAAAGGGTCAAATAAAAAGGCTATTCTAAAGATATTTTTCAGTAAAAATGTACAAAATGTAAAAATGGAGAAGCTAAAGTAAGAGAGGTTAAAGACAAATGTGGAGTTCAGCTCTACTTCCCTAATGTAAAAAAATAAAAAAAATTAAAGCGTTTTAAAAGATTTTCAAAACTTCAACATTGCTCTGACTTATAACAGCTAGACAAAAATTGATGGCACCTGCATGGGAGTTTTACACCTCCACCATCAAAATGTAAGACCAATACGGATCAGTTGGTTTGCATGATTTCCCTTTTGAGTGTGTGGGTTCTTACAAGGTACTCAGGCTTTTTCCCGCAGTCCAAAAGCATGAGTGATTGGTGTCTCTAACTTGTGCACATGGTTGTTTGCCGTGTGGGCCTCTCTTGATGAGACGGCGACCCGTCCACAATAAAGCCCTCCTTTAGCCCAAGGACTACTGAACATAGACCGCAGCCTCTCTGCTGGAAAAGTGGTTATGGGAAAGAGACAGATGGATGGGAATCCCCCATGGTGTAGTGGTTTACATTTTTTGACGGCCATGCTGGAGACCCAGGTTTGAAAATCCAGGGATCTGGCGTCAAAACATGGCCAAGTCTGTGACAGAGCAGCTGAGAGTTTAAAAGTCTTGATGAATGATGGCCTTTCTTTTATTTTTTCTACTACTTTCCTATTTGGATTTACCAGTGTGAGGTAACAGCAATACTCTCAAGGTAGACAGAGAATCAGCAGCCAGCCTGACCTGTAACAGTTGCTCTGTCTGAATCAGGCTCCCCTGCATTGCTTTGTTAGCCAGAAATCTTCAACTCCAACATCTTCATTTCCCTCTACTCCCTCCCTTCCCTGAGAACGTCTGTGAACCTCTGAATGTGCAGCTGGTTGATGATCGCTTAATCGTACTATAAAAGACAATGGCCTCTGAGACATTGCTTCATAGACTTAGTTTGCACACACTCACATGCATGATGGGATAGTGACATCAGTGAATGAACATAGATATAAACATATATCACCACCCATACCGCTTTAACTCTTCTTGCACACTGCTTTCCTCTTTGTCTCATGTCTGTTTTTGGTCTTTTCTTAAATGGTACTGAAACTCAGTTTCACCATACTGGAGAGCTACTGGGTGACACATATAGATATTTGAATCCTGCATTAGAGGATACTGCCAGAAATCCATAGCCCATATGTTGGTTGCTCAGTTGTCACAGAAGCTGCTGCTGAAATAAGCTTTCCTAAGCTCAAACTTACCAGACATCAAATCTTCTGTGGACTTTCATGTATATTAGTCAGCCCTGAAGTGTCATAGAAGAATTCGCTGAAAGAAATGCTAGGAAAGTACAGCTTAAGCAGGAAAGGTTAAATTGTGGCATAGTTTCTCTTCGTTGTGGTTGTAGTAATAGAAATTCCCACTAGAGGTCTGTAAAAGTATTAACAGTTTTGCATATATTATATTTGCATAGATATTTCAAATGTCTTTGTTAATGTTTGTTTATGATTATTTCAAACACTAAATGTAGTTTAAGTATAAAGTTACTGAGTGTTGTTATCAGAATTATATTTAAGACTAATTACCATGGTTATTTTATACCCATTTAATTCAAGGCTTCTGTAGTTTGTAGTAAGGTAAGCTATTGTTATTGATTTCAAATTTATATGTATTTTGGTAAGCATCTAACATTGATTATTTTTTTATCTTACAAATTAAAGGCAGTAGTAGAAACAATGCTATTATTTTTCTTTAAATTGCCAATTGCTCATTGAGTACAAGTCTGGCTCTGTTTGATGGCAACAAAAATATGCCCACATCATAGTATAAACTTTCTATGCATTGTAGAGTGTAACCTACAATGCATACCAAATTATCATCTGGAACATTGCTTTGGGTATGTGCAAAAAATGCACAAATGCAACATAATTTTAAAAAAAAAGTGATATTTGTGCAAAGTTTTAAAACTTACTGTCTGCTAATTTTGTTTTGTTCTTTTTAGGTGACTGAGATTAAATGTTGCGGCAAGGGAGGAAAGAGTGAAAAACATTCATCGGAGGGTATAGCTGTCACCATTGACCACCTACGGCCGACTTCCACTCCAGGACATTTTCCTCCGATTTATGAAAACCTTTCTAATTCCACTGGTGCTAGTGGAACAAGACATTTACCTGTAGATCAGCAGAACATTGAAGATATTAACGAAAGGATCTACATCACACCTTTACCTTTTGCCGCATCCGAAACTACAGACAGAAAAGACAGAATTAACCCAACAAGAAGAGAGACAGGGAACCATATAAACACTGTATCTGAGTCTATCCCCTCTGAACCACCTTCCAGATCGCTATGGTTTGGTTTAGATGTAAACCAAATAAATTTAGGGCCATAATATATTTGTTTTTATCACAGAAATATTAGCAAGACACTTTTTAACAACACTTTGGTTAGTTTACACACTATACTGAAGCTTTAATAGTAGATACCTACAAAATAAAATATATACTAAGAGTTGTAATGAATTTAAGAAAGCAGGAAAAAAAGTGAGTGATGAAACTTTGCTTCATTAACTGTTTGGAAATTTCATGGTATAATAAAATGGTTATGCAAACAGTTTTAAAGATTTTATGGTAAGAAATGCAATTTAAGAATCAAATAATATACATAATTCACAAAGATTTAATAGTGACATGTTTGTTGGCATCTTAGTTTAGCAAAAAAGTTGAATTTCTATAAGTTTTATAAGTTGCTTCAGGATTTCTAACAACTTTTGCGACTGTTTATATATAAATGTAATGTATATACCTGAGGTGAAGTGTCAGAACGTGTACATATGTTGCCTATGTGATTGTTTATTATCATCATTGAGTGAATTATTGTTTTTCTCATTAAAAGTGTTCAAAATATTAACTTTCTACATAATTCTAATTTTTTTGTACTTCAAGCAAATATATTTGGAATTGTTCCCTGGTTTATAACTCTGACTTAAATATTAACTTTATTGTTCAGCCATATAGCTAACATGCTTTAGTGAAATTATTTCCTCCTTTGATCTTGGGCTTTCCTTTCACTATCAGCAATAAAGCTTGAAATGTACTCATATGAAATGAAAACAAATAATTGTTTTTTTTGTTTTCGTTAAACATCAATAGTCTCTGTGACAGACACGGCACACCTTAAAGTGCAGATCCCGCAAATTGCTACAAAGCTGTGCCTGAGCATGTAAATTAGATTTAGATCTCTAGACTTTTACTAGGTCAATATAAAACCTCTTTTTTCCCTTGAGTCACTCAGAGTGTCAGGATTTGGTGTTGGATTGAGGACCCAAAAGTAGAGGCAAGTAGGCAGAGGTGAATTTAGGTGGGTTTAATGAGGTTCACAGGAACAGAGGCAGGAATAAAAAAAATCCAACAAAATAACAAACAAACCAGTACCAAGGAGACATCAGGGGAAACCAAACTCTAGGAGCCAGGGAGAGACGAGGTAAGCAGACAGACGTTAGACGAGGAACAGGAACTGAAGAGGGAGGGCTTTTAAAGTGGACAGAGACAAAGAGAGGGCTAACGAGAGGATTGGAAACAGGTGAGGGCAGAGCAGAAAACAGAGCTAGGGATAGAGGACACAAGAGGGCAGCAGAGGACAACAAATGGAAAACCTGGAAGACAGGAACTAACAAGAAAACAACAAAATAATAACTAAACATTAAAACAAGGAGCAAAGTAAAACTGAATACTCTAAATAAACATAACAAAACCAAGACTGTGACAAGTTCTCCTTTTCTAAAACTCAGTGAA